TCTGCAGATTTCCACGATATATTGTTCAATGAAAAAAACCAAAGCTCAAATGAGCATATAAAGTATGCTACCTTATGTGTAAGAAGAAGCAGAAATGAGAAAACAATCATGTATCTGCTTATTTTAACAATAATAAACAATAAATTAAAAGGATTTTTGCCTACGGGGGGTGGGGGGGAGAGGAAGGGGTGAAAGAGACAGAGGAGGGAGTAACACTTCTCCAAGCATACTTTTTTATAGTTTTTGACTTTTGCAAGCATGTTAATGTTTTACGTATTAACAAAAAATAAATCAACAAGAATGGGGGTGGGGGGGAGAAAACCCTGAAACTGAATGTAAACAAAACTATATAAACTCAACTATACATTTTAAATAACACAAAGACACTGAAAGCAAGTTGGTACTTTGGCTATAACAACTTCAGCAAAGGGAAAAAAGAACTGCAAACAAATCTTGAGCTCTCTTTTAGGTGGTTTGTTTTCCACAATGGTACAGGCATGGCAATTCTGAAACTATCTTAGGTATGTTGTAGGACTGCATAAATGAGTAAATCTGTGGTTGTTTGGAGCCAGGGTTCTGACTGTGAAAGAAGGAAATACAACTATGGAATAGGGGTTGGGTAAGAATTGGAATATCAGTATGACCTCATGATTTCCTGGCTGTTTCTACTGAAAGGGTCTAGAAATAGTGCTGTCCAATAGAACTTTCTGTGATGGCAGAAATATTCTATATCTGTGCTGTCCAATATGGTAGCCACTACCTACATGTGGCTACTGAGCACTTGAATGTGGCTGATGCAACTGAAGAACTGAATTTTTAAGTTTATTTAACTTTAAATTTCAATAGGCACATGTGGCTACTGTCTACCACATTGGACAAGTCAAGTCTAGAAGCAATGGCACTACTGTCTCAGTAAGCACACCTACCACCCAGATCTTGGCTTCTAAATACTATCCTCCACTAAAAGGAACCAGGGCTCCTTGGAGAAGTGGCTGATTCCATGCAGGGCAGGTAGGTTACAAGATGAACCCAGAACACCTTATTTGCCAGAAAGTAAGAAAGCTGAATAATAATAATAATAATGGAGGCAAGTCACAAGGACAAAGGAGCTGGTTGAAGGAGCTCTTATTTGACAAATCTGGGACAATTATAAACCACTGAATAAAATAGGAACCCATGAGTCCTTTCAAATAGATAAATAAGACAGAGGAAATGGGAGGGGACTCTTCCTTACCAGGTCACACCTGAAAACCAGGATCAGAAATAAAATTACTTATTGACATTTCCACAAAACAAATCCCACTCTACCGTCCCATCCCCTAATCCACTGTCTTTCCAAATGACAAAGAGAGTACTTTTCAACTTCCACATAAGCATTCATGTTCTTAACATTTTTCTTAGAAAACAAACAAACAAAAAAATGTATTTCTCAGGGTCACCAAGAAAATAAAGAGTTTGAATGACTCGGTTATAAGGGGCTGGAATAAGAGCCCAGGTATTGTCTTTTTCCATGTTCTGGAGAAATCACTAAGGAACCCCCCCTCCCGCCCCAATCAAATCAAATGCAATCACCTCTACAGCCTCCTACTCTGGCTCAGAGCCATTCCATCTCTCCATCTCCCAACTGGCAAATATCTCCACATGATGGCTAGAACAAAGTGCAGCCCAAACACGCACCTTCAAGACCCTCCAGCTAGCTGCCAAAACTGTTTTCAACAAAACTCTTCCCCCAGAAATACCAGGATTTCTTTAGTGATAGAATAAATAAAACACATTTTCATTACACGTTAACATATTCCAAGAAGCTAAAAAGCAAAAATCATTTGCAATCTCCTTAAAGAGACAAATATACCAGATCATTCTTTTCCAAACAAATAAGAACCCATAATTTATTCCAGAAAGCTTCTTATACATATTCATAAAAAGGAGGAACAAGCTATATGTAGCCCAGGTAGAAGACACTTCATCAAGTTAAACAACAGTACTCACTAACGATCCATAACACGAAGACGTGGAACACACCGCATCTTTTCAATCTGCCTGTGAGATCCGTAATTAAGCTCTTAGAAAACATAAGTAGAAACACTTGGTGACGTTACTGAACTAACCATCGGATGACACACAGAACGAACTAGCAAACGCTGATCAGCTTTTCTTCTTCCATATGATGCGAGTCCCCAAGTCTGGGAGGTGGGGTGCTGATGCTCCTGTTTTTCTGAAACTTTCCATGATGATGTCAATCCTGGGTTGCACATGAAATTTAGCAATCCTATTTCTATTATTTACCACTGAAAACTGTTTACAGCGCTATCACAGTCCTGTAACTCTAGCTGCTTGGGGAGTTACAAAATCATTTTCTAAATGCTACAAACAATCTATGAATAATATGAATAATTACTACAACTGAGTGCTTACTATTTGCCAGTCACTGTACTAAACACTTAACAATCAAGAAAAAAAAAAAATCCATTGCTGTCAAGTTGATTCCAACTCATAGTGACCCTACAGGACAGAGTAGAACTGCCCCATAGGGTTTCCAACGAGCGCCTGGTAGTTTTGAACTGCTGGCCTTTTGGTTAGCAGCCGTAGCTCTTAACCGCTATACCACCAGGGTTTCCAATCCTATAGGCAGGTACTAGTATTACCCCCACTGAAAGAGAAGCAGGGATCTGAACTCAGGCATTCTGACTATAGTGCACGCTCTTCAGACATTAAATTCACCAAAGCAGTATTATTATTCTCCGCTATCATCATTACCAATATCTGTATAATTATTAAGAATAAAAATTTTTTTTAAAAATATAGTTTTTGTCGAGTTGATTCTGACTCATGGCGATCCCATGTGTATCAGAGTAGAACTGTGCTCTGTAAGGTTTTCAATGGATGATTTCTCGTAAGTGGATCCCTATGCCTTTCTTCCAAGGTGCCTCTCGGTGGACTCCAATCTTTCTTCGGTTAGCAGCCGAGCACAGTAACCATTTACACCACCCAGGGACTCCAATAAAAAGTAAAGCTATCGTCAAGCTATCTGCATATTTCAGTTCTAATCCTCACAACAGTTCTATACGTTAACTATCATCATGGCCACTTTAAAAATAAGGAAACTGTGCCTAAGCAAATTAAGTGATTTGTTCAAGGCCTCACAGCTGTTAGCTAGCAGAACAAGGATTTAAAATAATGCATGTTTGACTACCTGCCGCCTCCCCTTCCTTCCTTTTAAAACAAAAAAAACAAGGCCAAAACTTCTCCTGTTTGAGTTTGGGGAACGGGGGTGTGAGAGCAGAAGAAAATTCCTACTAACAAAAGCATGAACTCCAAATGGGTAAAGCAAACCAGGATTGAAGTTATGAGCCTCTCTCCCTGCTTGCAAGAGTTCATTGTTTTGCATTGCTTTGGTGCTGGATTCCTGATGGTAGCAAATTCCAGGGCCCAGACTGCAGGCTCAGCCTCTGACTAACAGTACAGTGATTTATTTGAGGGTAAATATCTCTGTCAGTGTCTTATGACTGAACACAACAGGCCCAGAAGATTGGAATGTGTGGCACGCCGAGGCCTGCCGAAGCTGAGGCAGCAGCGGGAGGGCCGGCCAGTGGTCAGGCTGCCTCCAGCTGTGGAAGGCCCTTCCTCCAAAAAGGAAGCCAGCCGGGGACTCTCCAGGCTTTACATTCCTACCCGAAATAGCCACATCCTCAGAAATAAGAACTGGGAAACATGAGTGTCTTCAACAATTACAAAACACGAATCCTCTAGTTTTTATCCATCCTTGGGAAAAGAGCCTGGGGAGGGGCAAAAAGAGCAGGACCTTTTTTTCTTTAACCTGGACATAGAAGCTACTCCTTCCAATATTCAGAGGCACATCACTACCACTGATAAGACACCGATATCTATCGTAACTACCAGCCAGCCAATTGCCAGAGCCGACACTGCTGGGCAGCTGGCCTGGTATCTCTAAGTCCTGAAAACATGTAATAAGGTATCTCACGCCCTCTGCATGAAGTGTGTGTGCTGAAGAGAAAACACGCAAGAGAAGACAGAATATAGGGTGCTGGGAGCAAGCTAATTTTCAAATATAAACATCGTAATGTTCCACAAACTTAGAGAACTTCAGTTTCAACCCCTTCATTTCACAAATAAGGAAACGGAGGCCCGGAGAGTTGACGCAACTCATGTCCAGACTGTAGCGTGTGCTGGTGGCAAACTGAGGACTAGCACTCAGATCTCCCGCCTACTACAGGCTAACAGATGTGATGAGCAGTTATCTTAATCATCAACACAAAAAAACATCTTTATCTCTCTGGAAAGCTCTCGAATTTATATCGTGAGCACACATGGTAAGAATTAAAACTTCTTAATGTGTACAATTCCAGACCCCAAAGTACAAAATTTTACAGAAGTCAGCTCAGGCGCTAACCTTTCCTCCTATTTTTCTGGCACATAAAGACATTCATCAAACACTGATCCTCCTAACAACAATCGTTATACCCAAAACCCACTGTTGTCGAGTCGATTCCAACTCATAGCAACCCTAAAGGACAGAGTAGGACTGCTTCATAGGGTTTCCAAAGCTGTAATCTTTACGGAAGCCGACTGCCACGTTTCTCCCGTGGAGCAGCTAGTGGGTTCAAACCGCCAAGCTTCTGGTTAGCAGCCGAGCGCTTTAGCCACTGCATCACCAGGGCTCCTTAATCATTACACACAGGCAAGAAAAAGCAAAGTTTTCAGATAACCACCCCAAGAAGCTCTAATGGAAAGTTAGCTTCCATAGGAAAATGCAGGAAGGGTAGGTAGGTAGGTAGGAAAGAGATTAAGATTTCATCTATCCATTAGTTCCTAACATCAGTTCAACACTTCCTAGCAGCGAAGGAATACCATACACCCTTGCGACATAATCAGCACAGTCAAGCCACTGATTGGAGGAGTTGTAAGAGAACACGGCCCTAGCGTTGAGGTACACACAAACCGAAATCAAAACGCCCACGCATCCACAAGAAGGCACTTACAGATGGGGGCTAAAGATGCGACTCATCTTGGAAACATGGTCATTTTCACAGTCTAGGTCATCGTCGGCTTGCTCCATGCTGAACTTCCTCTTGCTGGGACTGATGGGAGGAGGGCCTGTGCGGTGGCTGGTAAGGGCAGAGGCCACAGGGAGGGTCTGCATTCTGGGCTCGCCCCTGAGAGCAGCTTCACCTATGCAAAGAGATGACGGAGTGGTCAAGCAGGAGAAATGTCCCCATTGCAGTCCCCCAAGCTCCCCCGCCTGCCCAGCCCCTTGCAAAACTACTCCCAGCGGAAAGTTTTTGGCAAGGGGATGGGCTGCCTGCCATTCTCAGAATACGGTCTCAGCTGCCAAGCATGAGACATTTTACATAAACGTGGTTTTTTAGCACAATAACTCTTTAGGGTAGAGTTTAAAAATAAAAGTTGCAATAAAGGAATGGGGGCCGGGGGTATTTACCATAAACAACTCAAAAGTTAATTTAAAACATTAAAGGTCTTTTGGCTTGTGGGCATTCAACTCCATACCTGTAAGAAAATAACTCAACACCAAGCTCATCAAACCACTATGCCAAACTCACTTTTCTTGCTTGTGACACTTTCATTGTATTTTCAGTATGTCATTTTTTTAAAAGAATGAGGAAAATGTATGGGTTAATAGTTCACATATTTGCCCAAAAAAACAAAAACCTTAAAAGAAATAAAAATACACTGTTTAATGAGAAATAAAATATTTTTTTACAGTATACTAAAAAAGTCACATTAAAAATATTGTGATTATTACCGGTGCAGAGTTCCTGAATATAATTTATCACAAGCATAACACATAGGTACAGTCCGCAAAACATTTTTCAAAGTTTAGATACTCTAGTTGGGGTTCACAGTTTGATCTGACTAGAATTCTTGGTGTTTTTCATTCCTATTTTAAAAGGCTTTGTGCTAAACGGTAACTTTTTCCTTACATGAATTAAAATAAGCATAAGCTTATATAATCATAAAGGTCATGTACCTTCTAAAATTTATAAACAAGAGTAGTAATTACTTTGAGAGAAAACGTCAGACTTTCTAAGTTATGTGGGGAGGGACACCTACATTCTACACAAATAATGGCCCTTTTGTTGTGCTATACGGGTTGGTCTCAAGGCCTGGACCAATTCTGTCTCCACTTGGTCACAATTTGAGAGTAATATTAGGCGAAAGTCAACTTCAACCGAGGCCTTGCGGTCCCTGAGAAAGGAAACCTTTGTTTGCCACCACTTATTTTCATATCGTCACAGATGTGTGGACAGTTTTAACAGTCGTTTACTTCCTACACATATGACAAGTATGATTCTGTTAGGGAAAGGAGTGAGGAAAAAGCCTTCTGAATGTTTACCAGGAAATATAAAAAGTTTGCCAATTTAGTCAGCAAGATGTAAACTAGCAAATATACAGTGACCTGTAATGCACCTCAAGTCACCGTTTCTTTTAAGGTTCTGGCACCAAAGCAAACTGGAACTTTCCAGCTTAAATGAAATGCCCAAAAAACAGGTCTGAGGCTGGCCTGCTATACTCAGAAGAAATTCAGTGTGATTTTAGCTGACTCTACTTCCTGTGTAGTATTTCGGTTTACACAAACAAAAAAAGCAGTGCTAATATTTACACCTTGATAAATTATAAATTTCCAAGTATCTCCCCCCACCCCGTTCTTGTACTCTCCTCCTCCACAGAGAGGGAGTAAAGCTTTAGTAGCCCAAGCCCAGACAACTTTTTGAGGGACTCTGGTGATACCCTCAATTAACTCTGCAATTGCAAACTAAACCTGATCAGAATGGTGTAGACTGACCATACCCTCCACCCCAGTGTTTCTCAACATCCCTGGCAGGGATAAGCGGGGTTGCAGACCCCTGGGCTTTGCGCTCCACACGCACATTTCATAGAATGCCAGATGTGTTAGCAACATAAGTTACCATGGAAAGCAACCACCACCACAACAAATTCAAATCACTCCAAAACAAGGCGTCATCAACCAGTATGCCAGCGTGAATGGCTACCAAAACTCTTGGGTTAAGAACAACATTCCTACTCCACTCCCCAATTTCCATCCTAGTATAAATTCTTGTGCTTGTTTGCATTTTAAGCTCATCAAACTGATATACTGCTTATTTTTAAGACTGAATCCTTCACGTCTGACATGGAAAGAAAAAAGTCCAAAAAAATCCTTTGGAAACACCGGTGATTCCTAAGCTAGGTTACCTATGAAAGCACCACAGCTGGTCCTTCTACCCTAGGGCTGCAATATTTCTACCAGGTGCTGTTCTAGAGGGTGATACGTACTTGGCATGTTGGAGCACATCAGCATCTCAGAATGTTAGTGCTGGAAGGGGTCTTGTAAACACAGATTCCTTCATTTGGTAGATGAGAAAACTGTGTCGCAGACGGAGTGCCCTACCCAGGGTCATACAGTGAACGGGCAAGAACACTGGACACTGTGCTAGCCCCACATGGCTTACAGCAAAGGAACCAGTGGGTGGAAGGAAAAGAATCCATGGACAGAGGGCACAAACAGCTCTGGTCAGTTATGTGCCTTCTTCATTCATCTTTGGACCCCCATCCTTGAGGACCCTACCTTATCACCTTGCATTTTAAAACAGGTTGTATTGTTATTGTTGAATATGTGGCAAAGGAGGTTAAAATTATTTTAGTAAAATTGAGAAGGATGTCTGTTCTGGCAGTCAGGACACTGGTGTTCCGATCTTGACTCTTCCTTTATTTAGGACTGGGTGGGCTGCCTCTGAAAGGTCACAAACATGAAAACTCTGAAATGCAGTTCTACTCTGAAACACATGAGGTCACCATGAGTCATACATGACTTGATGGCAACTGGTTTGGTTTTTGGCTTTGGATATGGGCATGCTCCTCTATGTGGGCCTCCACACAATTGGGGAGGGAGGTTGAACTAGCTAATATTGAAAGTTCCTTCCAGCCGTTAGAATAAGTGATCCAATTCTATGATCCACAGTCCTATCATCTATCAAGTAACCACCCAATCAGCATTTACTAAGAAATTATTACTTGTGTAATACTGAATTAAGACATCAAAACCCAAAGTATATATCTCAGATGTTACATTAATGAGAGAAAAAAAAGGTGAACCCATGGTCAAATAAATTTGGAAACCATCAGATTAAACAACTTTCATAGGAGTTTCTTAACTACAGAACATCTTGTCTTCTAAGGCACAACGTCAACCTCCAAGATAGAAACACAACAATGCTTCTTTCAATCTCTTCTCCTCCACCCGCACAGCATCCTACACACTGCTGTAAATTCAATGTTCCAAAGCACGGTTCTGAATATATCAACCCATCCCCACCCCAAATATCCAATGGCTTGCCAGTCACTGAGAAAATCCTGTCCAGACTGCTTCTGCATTCAAAACCACCATCTGGCCCCAACTACCTTTCCAGTCTTTATTCCTAGTATTCCTCTTTGTGAGCCCTGAAAATTTAAGCCCTAAAAGTTAAACTAGACTAGTCACCATCTTTACTCAGGCTTCTTCTCCAATCTTCTTGTATTTAAATCCTATCCATCTTGCAAAGGCCAGTTAAAATATCACCTCCTTCAAGAAGTCTTCCTTGATTCCTCAAGGTGAAAGTCATCTCTTCCTCTTCTGAACACCTATAGAAACTTATCACTGTGGTACTTCTCTTCCTATTCTGTTTTGTGCTCCTTGAAACAGGCAGCATTTTTATTCGCTGTACACGCCTAAACGCACAGAGCACAATACCTTCCATATATTAGATGGCCAGTAAATACTAACCGAATGAATGGATAAATGAGGCAAGGTAATGGGGTGGCCAGATTATAGAGTTTTAGGATATGCGAAAGATCAAAGATACCACAGAATAAGAAATTGTAAAAGATTTAGGAATGTATTTACAAGAAGACATAGAAATGACCAACAAGCACATGAAAAGATGCACAGTGTCATTAAGCAAGTGAAATTCAAATCAAAACCACAATGAAATACCACTTCACACCCACTCAATTGGCTACCATCAAAACCAGACAATAACGTGTGATGGTGAGGATGTGGAGAAACTGGAACTCTCATCCACTGCAGGTAGGAATGGAAAATGGTACAACCGCTGTGGAAAACAGTCTGGCAGTTAAACATAGGTTAAACATGTTACCGTATGACCCAGAAAAGGTTAAACATAGAGTCACCATATGACCCAGAGATTCTACCCCTATCTACTCCAGAGAAATGAAACCATACGTCCACACAAAAACTTGTGCATGAATGTTCATAGCAGCATTATTCACAATAACCAAAAAGTAGAAACAACGCAAATATACAACAACTGATGACTAGGTAAATAAAATGTGGTCTGTCCATAAAATGGAGTATTATTTGTCAATAACAAGAAATGAAATACTGATACATGCTACAACATGGAGGAACCTTAAGAACATTACACGAAGTGAAAGAAGTCAGTCACAAAAGACTACGTGATTCCATTTACATGAAGTGTCCAGAACAGGCAAACCCATGAGACAGAAAGTAGATTAGTGGTGGCTAGGGGCAGGGAGGTACGGGGTTTCTTTCTGGGATGACGAAAATGTTCTAAAATTGATTGTGTTGAAGTTTGCACAACTTTTGTGAATATGCTAAAATCACAGAAGTGTACACTTTAAAAGGGTGAATTGCATAGTATTTGAATTATATCTCAATAAAGCTGTAACCCCCTCCCAAAAATATATACATATAAGTAGATGACAGGAGACCCCAGTGCTATTAGATCCTTTTATCTCTCAGGTGTTTAACACTCGGTATGCAGATTAATCCTTAACTGCTAAACAAGAAGAACAGGCATCCATTAATTTTCCCTGGGATAAAAATAAACCTTGGGTTATTGAGGTTATCTCTCTCTACAATATTAAAATCAGATGATTTAAAAAAAAAAATACTATTTATTAAGTTTAAAAAAAATCAAATCAGAGAACCGCTGGAGGTTACTCAGGCACTTGGATTCATCAGAGCCCAATTAAAGCTCCGGCTTAGCTTGTAATCAAACAGTGTGTCTGAGGGCCTATTCCATGCCGAAGGCTGTGCGGGGTCCAGTCAACAAAACAAACGATGGAATGTATACAGCCCTGACCACACACCCAAAGGAACTTATCTTAGGGATGTACAAAGACTTTTCTTT